GGATATTAGGCTTTAATTTTGGAATTTTTAGACTTTTTTTCGCCGGCAAATAATAATTGCCGAAATGTTTAACATGGGTGAAACCATCCAATTTGCCTTTAAAAGAGCTATTAGCCTTACCGTTTCAACCCTAACCGGAAACACTAACCCCTAACCAATAATTTTGCCTTTACATCAGAGTAAAGGGGTTAGGCTAAGGGTTAAGGGGTGTAGTTACATGTGTACTAGTGAAATAGGTGTTCATATGACATAGGTTCGTAACACAATCCCTTTCCATAAATCTACTAATGACAAGTGTAACTTCTATCAGAAGGTTCATTTACTTAGCGTAATTGATAAATCAGTTCAGTTAAGTTTAGTTTAGGTCACTCTTCATGATCTATCATAAAATATACATTTCTTCTCAATTCAGTTCAGTTCCGTTTGGTTTAGCTTTAATTTCTTCAGTTTAGTCCAGTTCAGCTCGAATTAGTTCGGTTCAATAAATGTGAACAGGCCCTAAGTCACGGATTTTGTTACTTATCTTAATATTCTTTTTGTTAATTAACTCAGTCCCTTTCCTTTATTCCGTTTCTATTTCTCTTCTTTAATAATACAAATCGAAAATATAAGCAATAAATTTGGTGAATTACATTCTCATAATTTAGACGCCTGGCAAATTTTAAGTATTTGTTGTCGTAATTTACTATAAAAGTGAAACGATATTCATTATTTCAAGACCTAGTACTTATTTTATATTTATTATTCATTCAATTATGTATTAAATAATATTTTCTCTAATAAAATGATACTCCAATCTCCAGTTCAATTTGAATGAATTCAGCTCCCAAACAATAACAGGTTTAGTCTCTACTACTTCTGTACTTATAGTATAGTCCACCTTCACAAAAGGACAAATAGTACTTATCCCAATTTTGCGTGTAAACAAACCTATCAGCTTTTGTCACATGACTTATAAAAGCTGCATACGCTTTAACTCACTTGTTTAACCCTCCTACTCAAACACAAACCTTTCTCCCTCCTACTCAAACACATACGCTCAACACAAACAAGCCATGGAAATGACTAGACCACCCTTCGTGGTTTTAGCTATCGCGACTTGTGAGACTCGCCGTGTACGTGATACTGTGCTTCTCCTACCTGGAGAACCACTCATGTACTTCAACCCTTATTTCCCCACAACAAACAATGAAATTGATTTCAATCAAGTAAAATACTACAAAACCCAAAAAAAATTCTATGAAAAAAAAAAAATCTACCTCAATACGATCCGCAACGACATTATCATGGACGATGTTCAAAGGAATGCCAATACCAATGTCATGCGAGTGATGGAGCTTCCCGGAGGAGATATTCAACCTGCTTACGTGCTGCTATTATCTGACATTCACGGCTACTTGCAGCACCGTGGTGTGACGACCTTTGTCAAATGGTTTTACAACCGGCACCAATTTGAGGAGGATGAGGTTGTTCCAAAAGATCTGCTTCCAATATTTAATCTTGTTCCCACATTTGATGCAGCCTCCGCCTTAACATTTGCATTTCCTTTAAGCGAAAGGCATATTTTCATTGGGGCTAAAACGAACTCAATTCATGTTATGAAAATTCTAGCCCGAATGTCGTCGATCAACTTGAAGGCCGCTTCAGGAATCACAAAGAAAACAGGGATACATTACCATCGCCTCTCAGTTTGTGGTAATATGCCCGAGGAGGATGATTCACCTGTCTTTCATGAGGGCGCATTCGTATTGTGCTGGAATGCGACGGACGTTTTAAGGCCCTCCTTTGTTGAAAACTTTACAAAGCTGTATGATTGCTACCGTCCAATGTTATTCATTATCACCGAAGCGCGGCCAAAACATCTTCAACTTTGGGAATTGATTCCTAGGCTTCCAGGTCTATATCAGTACGCTAGTTCGGGCCATGGTCAGGTTGGAGGGATACTCTTGCTTTGGAACAAAGAAGCTGAACCATTGATTAAGTACACTAGCAACTGTCTGACTGGAGATGTGATGAATGTGTAAGTGGTGGTAAGATTCGAATACTCCAATTTTTTTATTATGTTTATTCCTTCCATTAAAACAAGGATTATGTTCGTAGATTGTTAATGTTGATTCACTTTGTGTAGTGTCATTTGTGTGGTTAAAATATCAGATAGCTATATTTGAAACGATATTACTGTCACGTTTTACGTGAGTTCATTATTGTTCCTCGTATTTTTGGGCTAACCGGCTTTGATTTCTATCCTGTGTGTCACACGATAGCCGGGGCCACTCATCGACCCACCTCCTCCGTTACATGAAGCTTTCGTAGTGGAGGATGATGACGATTACAATTATACGAGACGATGGTGGATAGATTCAGGAATGGACCGTGATCCCTCCCACCATGATGAAGGCTGGGCCTGATTTTCTCATTAGAAACTCAAACCCAACCATTCCAGCTGACTTGGAAATTAATTACAATATGTACTGCCCAGAATTCAGTTCAATGTCCTTTGTATTTCGTACTGTGGCCAGGGGCCTTATGTGAGATGAGTTGGATCTTCGTATATCTTATTGTAGTTCATTGTTTATGTTGTGTTTTTTTTTAAAATTGTTTTTTTTTCAACGTTTTAATTGTTTGTTTGTTTTAATTGATCATTTAAATTTAAAAAGACTATAGCGTAATTTACAATAAAGTTGTACATTATTTACAAATTTAAAGAAAGATTAACACTAACATGCGCAAAAAGAATTCATACTAAGCTCGTAATGAATCGTAGAGAAGTTGAGCAACAACAATTGAGAGTATGACAACTCATTCCCAAGTGTGAGTCTAAAATATAAGCTCAGACTTCTTTTTTTATGCCATATACTAAATTTAATCAAAAATAGCACAGAAATATCATAGAGGATGAAATACATACAAAAAAAGGCAACGAATTAGTTATAAGAAATAACCTTAGATAACATTTATAAATACGATACATATAGGTAACTAAAATCTAATCAAAAGTATATAATCTAAATCTAATCAAAACTTAAAAATATTATCGGCACTTGAAATACAATACACATATGTATATATTAAATAAGGATCGTATTCGTTTCACTTTATGCCAATATCAACATAATTATACATGTGTTGTTAGTATATTATTAGGAAATTGAAATCCATCATAATTATGTTAATTATACAATTTTTTAGATGTTACAGCAGGTGCTTGCTAGAATAAAATAATCTTACAGGATATACTCTCTTGGAACCAATTCCAAAGAAGCAACCCTACATCCTAGGAACTAGGCTGACATGTTCTTCCCAAATAATTTACCCCCTAAAATTTACCCACAAAAAATTTACCCACTAAAATTTACCCACCAAAAATTTCATACCCCGCCCCCGCCAAAAATTATTTCAACCTTTTACCCTAGTACAAAGCCCGCCACTTGACAGAGAAGTTGTTTCACTTTATATATACAAGATACCCCTACATCAATTCCAACAAGTAGCCAAAATGACAAAGAAAAGATTATCAATTCCAGCACGTTCCATTAAACCTTTTCACAAAAGTATATCCACAAACAACATATCATTACTGCCTTGTTCGAAAATTTTCAAAACACATTCTCTCAAATTGGTAAATCCTTGTACTCCGAAGGCTTCTATCAAAGTATCATTCCCAAAGGGCGTTCTTGGGATGATCCAAAACCCTATCATGTCTTCCGCGCGGTGATATTAGGGTGTTGTTACTAGACTCAACTACGGCCGCCCAAATAATAACCGGGAATAGGAAGAAGGTTGGAGACATCGTCGTCATCACACCATCAAATAAGGTCAGGCCTGCTCACTTACCGGACTTATCTGATCTCGCTTTGCTACCAAAAGCCATCAAGTACTTTGTTAGATGGGTAATATCTACCCAAGGAGGAAAACAAGGGTAAGGTTACCAACACGTGTTGTCAGCCGCTGTTAAAAACATTGTTGATCCTTCTTCAGAGATACCTGTTGAAATCGAAAGTTGTGTCTTGTCTGTTGGGAAACACCTCATGACGATCCCAAGTTATCGAAATGATTTCAAGCTAGTTAGTGTTGAGTATCCAAAGGTTGTATCCAAGTTAATCATGCATACTACATCAAAGTCTTCAACCAAATTAGATGGAAGGGAAATTGAGGTTGAAGTTGAAGTTGTTGCTAATGAAAACCTAAGTTGGTGGAAGGGAACTTTCACAAAGGGTTTAAGGTATATGATCTGGAATTGTCGTGATATGGGTAGGGACTCTTTCCTCCCATTGATTAGGTTTTCAATGAAGATGCATATGCCTCACATAATAATTTTAACTGAAACACGCGTCTCTATTCACATGGCGCGCCTAATTTGTGCATCTTTAAAGCCTTATGCAGTGTATGGAATTTCTACAAATGACAGCGAAGGGGGATATGCAGTGCTATCCTTTTCAAGGGATATGACTATGAAGTTGCTAAGCGCATTTTCTAATCAATTCTGCTGGTGTTTCAATCTAGTTCAGGATGATAATCTATACTACTAAAGTATTGTTTTGTATGAGTTTATGATGTATTAGTTAACTAAGAACTTTTGTATTAGAAAACCTATCAAAGTTAACTAATGATAATCTATATGTAGTGCTATCCTTAATGTTTGTTTGGCCCAAATTTGTTTTTAGCCCAACCTATACCAGTCATCTCAAGGCTCAAAACACTACAATCCAGTAATATGAGGCCCAACAGTCCAGTAAACTTTGACCCAATCTCCCACAAATTTCGTATTAACTGAATATATTACACATTCATTTCAAATCTACTCACACACAAGGGCCATTATCAACTAACACTCAAGGGCCTCAAGAAGGCCTAGGCCCAGCAGTCCACTAAACTTTAATCCAAAAGTCCCACAAATTTCGTATTAACGTAATATATTAGACATTCAGTCCAAATCAACTCACAGACAAGGCCCATTATCTACACTGAAGGGCCTTCAAGGCCCAGTACAGGGGCCAAAATTGCCAATAATCCAATACAATGTAACCCACACAAACAACATATCCGTATTACACTACAACTACGCACTGATTAAAAAGACCGATTATTTTACATCTAAGAAATCGAGATTGAAATTTTATACTCTACGAATTACTTCATTATTTCGAACAAATGTGTCAGTAGTACAAATTGATCAAATCGGATGTGCGTTGAGATGAGATGAACAACTTTCCAGGCATCGGAAGTCCTTCGTGATGATCACATTCCTGATGCTGTTAGCAACGGAAGCCCCATTCATTATAGTACGTATTGCTTGATAAAATTGTTCCACATTTGCTACCTACATTAGTAAACACTTCTCATCTATGATACCCTTGAATTACATAACATTAACAAGTAATTATTATCATCAAAACTTACCCGCTTGTTCACCTTGTGAAAATTTGATGAGGAAGTCAACGAGTTTGTGTATATCAGAGTAATATCTTGTACATTACCAAATTTTACAAATACACAAACGGAAAAGGAAGCCGGATAGCCGGGACCTGAAGCTCCATCAACCTATTCATGTACACGTAAATTGTAAAGAAAATTTATGTTTTATAACTTAGAAAATAAGGACCAGATATGCAGTAACAATCACCTTCGATACAATATCCATGTAAGCACAACATGGACTAGCTATAAAGCAGTCTACGCACCCTCTTGACATGGTATCTGACCCAATTGTTCCAAGAAACAACACGAACTCTCCCTAGATGCAAATACAATCAATAACAACTACTAAGGCCCATCTACAATCATCGCCTATTAACCTTTAACAAAAGAGCAATATACATTCATTGCCTAAAGGCCCATATAAAGATTTAGCAACTAACCAACAATGACGACCAGAACCAGGGATCTGGTGCATTAGGAAATTGCCTAGCATGATTCCACCTACCAACCTGTTGTAACATGATAATAATTTAAGCCATCTTACATGCAGTACAAGTAAATCATACATTAATATACTAACCCATGATGTTAATCGAAGCAGTGTGTTGAAAGCATCTCCCGATAAGCACCTATTACCACCTAACACACTTCAGTCTCCTTATAAATTACAAAAGACCAGAAAATTAATAAGAATTACAGAACCCATGATGTTAATCGAAGCAGTGTGTTGAAAGCATCTCCCGATAAGCACCTATTACCACCTAACACACTTCAGTCTCCTTATAAATTACAAAAGACCAGAAAATTAATAAGAATTACAGAACAACATCATATACCTTTTCATGACATCCATTCGCAATCATATAGAATCAAAATTTGAAAATGCACCGATATTGTTGTTACCAGATACAATAATTGCCTTTTTCTCAACAGAGTCTACCTTGTCACTCATATCAGCAGTTGATTTACCATAAACTTTCTTCATTTTCGGCTTCCGCATTTGTGCTGTCTTACTTCTAAAACAGACACTGACACAACAGCTTCTCTGTACAATTAAAGGTATGAATCATCGAAAAATACAAAGGTGTAACCAATCCTAAAAAATTAAAATCAGTTGAAAGGTAACCTCAGTTGACCCCCCGGGTCCATTCGAATCCCTAGCTTTGGTTGGATGAGTTTCACCATAAGCCACATCCAAAGTCTACATGATACAACACAACAACATCATGAAAAATGGAAATACCCAACTACCTGTGTTCTAAGTCAAAAACATTCCCTAAGCTGCCCAAAGTCACCCCCATTCGGTAGGCGATCTTTACTAATAGCCAACCGAATCTCTTCCATGTTCCACACCTCTAACCTAGGGAAATAGCCCCAATGAACAGGATGTCTATTAAGACGATCCAAATACAAAATCTGTAACAAACATCATTAGTGGTTAAATGGTGACAAATGGTGACAACATTGTATCAATGGTGAAAATACACACATACCACAATGAATATGAGGCAACCGGCACAACCACTTGCAAATCCAACAGAATAAAACCGTCGTGCAAACATCGCCACACTGTACATGAGTTTTTGTAATACTGGGCTGCACCAGTCATAGTCAACAGCTCTTGCAGCACATGTTAGTGAAGAAACAAGATCAGTCGCCAATCTTGAAGACTGATTAGGGCATAACAACATTTCCAGAGACAACAACAAGAAAACAGTCTTGAACTCCTCAGCCTGATCTTCCTCCCATCCCCCCTCCACACTAGCAATCAGATCAACATTTACTTGAATACCCTCAAATATATACTCACGACCACTTCTGCTGCACTTACTACTCCATGTTTTGCCATATCTATCCATAATCCTATTCACCTTTTGAAGTGTAAATTGTCTATTGTTTGGTATGTGGGAACAGGTAACCCTCCATTAGGAATACCAAGGACCCAATGAACCTGGTTTTGAGAAAGCCTGTACACTCTGCCATCTTGGGCAGTAAGAGTACAATTGAAGGGATCTACACGAGTCATCAACCAGTAAGCCAAATGTCTTGGAAGGTTCATATCACCAAGCTTTAACAACCCACCAAAGCCCATCTCCCTCACCCACCGCTTATGTCTTTCGTCAAAACTATTGCTTATTCTACCAAACAACTCTATCCGACAACTTGTATTAGCCGACTGCATAGATTAAACATCGAATATCAATATAATCTATATTGAATTGGAAGCTTTTTGGCAACTACTGCACCAAATAATTTCCCTTCAACAACGCCTAAAACATATTCAACACACAAGCACTTACCCTACATCTATTCTGTAAATGCTGCAACAAAACTTCACCTTTGCTTTTGACTTCCCCACCAACAGTTAAGGAATCATCTTACAAGTTAATGCACCTACTTAAGGCCAATCAATTTATGCAATTACAATTAACACACACAAAACGTATAAGTTTACCTTAAATACAGCCAGAGAAAGCTTCTTGATGTGAGGTGCAATTAACTCTTACAGTAAACAAATGATAAAGGAGTAAGTACAGTAATTTTCACGATTAATGTTAATTTTACCAAAATACTACTACCTCGGACTCAGTTGGATTGATGTTGATTTTACGCTTCCTGCTACTGCTTCCCATTTATTACAATTTCTAGCAACAGAACACAAATTAGCTGAATACACGCACCATCAGCTCCTTATTCCTAATCCCTTTACACAAACATCATAGACTAATTGGTATATACACAACTTCAATTTGATGATTCAAGGTATATTAATATGTAAATCTAGGGTTTGTGCAATTTCAAGTCATATAAACCAAAAAACAAAAATTATGCTTGAAATTTCAATTTATAATTAGCAGAGTTGATTCTAACCTAATAAAGCTCATAATTTCTTGATAATTAGCATTGATAACACATACCAGTGAAAGAAGTTCAATTCAATCAATCTTCACCCCGTGAAAAAAGTTCAATTCAATCAATCTTCACCCCGTGAAAGAAGTTCAATTCACCACCGCAATCGAACAACCGCACATGAAATCGACAAGATCCCTATTTTGATTTCAAAATCAAACTACAGAAGCAACTATTTCGGGAATTGCAAACAATTTTGGATTTCAACTCCACCTCTAACACCCAGGAGTCTCTTAATTACAAATACGGGAAATCGCAAACAAATTTGGACAGAACGGACTCGTCATATTAAAGAGAAGACGGTCGTTATGTCTGCAGTTAACGTGTATACATTACATTCCAACAGTACCCTCACTCAAAGACTGGAAATGACAGTTGTAACCTCATATTAACGCGACTTGTTAATATCGCATATTAACAAGTATTTTCTCTTTAAAAACCCATGACCCGCCATAGTTATAAAAAGTTTAGTTGGTTTTATTATGGTAAAAAAAAAGAAGAAAAATAAAAAGGAAAATTCACATGGATAAATGGAGGTATATTACCGTATATCATATCATATCATCATATCACATAGTTAATATATAAAGCTAAACTTTTAGCCATGTGACGAGATAGCGATACTTGGCATTCCAACTTTTTGCCAAGTGTCGTGGCACGTAGGATAGATTTATATAGAATTTAATTTGTATGATAAAAAAAAAAGTTAATTTAGAATTCTATTTTCAATCAAATTTGGATAGAATTTAGGATAAAATTGTTAATTTAGAGTTTTGTTTTTGATAAAGTACCAATATTTCATATGTACAAATTAAATTATAATTTTATTAAAAAAAAATTATAACACTCATAAATTATCATATAAATTTATTTTTGTATCATAGTATTTTTTGGAGCGAAGGAATTAGCTCAAAATGCACCACATCCATTATTTATAATATATTTAAATCAATTAAAACAATATACTTTACAATCTAATATAATTTTATTACTGTGTGTAGACCTATCATACGGGTCGGGTCACAAGTCATTTCGGATAGGGTCATTATTTCAGGTTACCGGTCAAGAAATGTTTTTCACCCAATATTATTATTAGTCATTACATGCCTACTATATAGTTTAAATCATCACAAAAACACATCAATTCCTAACTAATTTTGTATCAATGATATGTTTTAAAATTTGACATATAGATTAAAAATTTATCTTAAAATTCAATAAACAACTCGGGCATCGCAAGGGCACAAAACTAGTAACTAATATATAAAACTAAACTTTTAGCCAGGTCACGAGACAACGACACTTGGCATTCTAAATTTTCGCCAAGTGTCGCGCCACGTTGGATAGATTTAAATACACTTTATAAGATAAAAAAGTTAGTTTAGAATTCTATTTTGAATCAAATTTGGATAGAATTTTAGGATAAAACTGTTAATTTAGAGTTTTATTTTCAATAAAATAAAATTTGAGTGTCGCGCCACATTGGATAGATTTAAATCGACTTCATAAACAACCCGAGCATCGCACGGGGCACAAAACTAGTATGTAGATAAACATCACGGGTTAAGGCCCTATTCTCATCAGATTTTTTTCAGTTCATCTCAATTCAATTCTAATAAGTTCAGTTCAGTTGAATTCTTAGTTTCATTATCTCATAAAATATTCAATTTAGTTCAGTTCTAATAATTTCAGTTCAGTTCAGCTAATTTCAGCCAATGAGAACATGCCCTTAATCTTTTGCTAAAATGTTTATTAGTACAAATTTAATTGTACATTGAGAATGCTCTTCAGTTGGAATTAAACTAAAATGTTTATGAATACAATAATGGTATATATTTTTCCTCCGTCCCTTAATACAATGCCTCTTTTAAGCATTTATTCCTCACATAATAAAGAGAAAGAGAAATTGTATTATGGGACAGAGGGAGTAGTAAAATAATGAAAGATTATTAGTAAAAATAATGATGTTGTTTCATATTTTCACTTTTTTTATTTTTTCACGAAAAGAAATACATGAACAAATACTTAGGAAGAATTAATATCTCCTACAATATATAAGAAGTTGATAGAACCAACCAAAAGATGCCAGTGAATAATTATTTTTAAAAGAAACTAACTTCATTATTTGTAGAAGATAATTACAAAATAAAAGTGACTCTTTAGTGAAATAACATACTACCTCCGTTACATATTATTTGCAACGATTTGACATAAATTTGAGAGAAAAAATGTCTAATCGTTGCAAATAATATGTAACGAAGGTAGTACAATAAATGAAGGAAATAAAAAATTAAAGGAAAAAAATAAAAATAAAAGTGTACCAATAAGAATGAGACACTTGTATATTGTTTGCAAATGTTCTTGCTATTAAATGTTAGTTTTTTTTTTTTGACGGGAAATATTAGTTTAGATTTATAGGGATACAATTGGTATAATACTATTTCTGAGCATTTCATTTAACTTTTAATAAAGTAGGGATATCACAAATTAATTACAGGAAATAAAAATTATCACTTCTGTGCATCGCACGGGCCCTAATTTAGTTATATTAATTAAACTAAGTTTACAACAAACGAAAGGACAATAAAGTAACATAAGTTACTTTTTGCATAAGAAGCCCTTACACAATACCAATTAAGGTCATTAACGATATTTACCTTTAAGTTATTACAACGAGTAAGTACAACGCATATAAGGCTTACCAATATACATTTAAACATGCGATAGGACTATTGATAGAATGAAGGAAGTCAGTGATGATGTTTTGTGTTGTGCAATGTATTTTCTAACATACAATTAAAAGACTACGAGTTGCCGAAATGACGGAGACAACCCAGAATTAGTATGCCTTATCCTAAGGGATCCCAATAATTCAAATGGATAAAATCCTTTTGAGATCTATGATTCATACATGTCAATCACATTTCTTTGCGATCTGACAAAACCATATCTTATACTCCCTCCGTCCCGTAAAAGTTCTTATTGTGTGTTTTTTCACGGTATTTAAGAAATGGGAGGGAAAGTGGAAAAAAGCTAGACAAAAGTTAGACAAAAGTACGAAGCAAGTAGATAGTTTAAGGACGAATAAGTAAAAAGTTAATTATAGACAAAAGTTAGAGAGAAAAAGTGAAAAAAAGTACAATGCAAGTGGATATGTTATGGGTAAATTAGAAAATTCAATGAATAAAGTAAAAAAATAAGAGTATAATGGTTTTTACATACTATTCAAAAATAAAAAGAGGAACAATATTTTGGGTCTCTAAAATAGGAAAACAGTACAAAAACTATATTGTGGGACGGAGGGAGAATATATTCTCATACAAGCTGTTCAGATTCGGGTACCTGTAGACACCTATTTGTGTCTCCCCAAAACCAAACCCAGTGATGAGTACCTTTCACGTCGAATCATAATCGAATGAAACAAAAGTGTGGAAAGGTCTAGTGTTGAGGAAAATTTTATTTTATTTTCATTTCTTTATGTTTTTGAAAACTTATTTTAAGATAACAGCCAATACAATTTGGTTGGTCCATGATATGGGTCAAATAATAGTGTAAATGGATGGGGATTGAAAAGACCTTTCCAACGATATATTATAAGCCCAATTCCGATGAATATTGATGAAGTTATGACCAATTTACCAAACTGGGCCCGGTTTGAGCTTTATGTACGGCCCAATGATCTAGGGGAGGGCCTAATATGATTTATAATTCCTAATGCAATTAGGAATGGTTTTAGTCTTCTAGAATCTTCTAGAAGGTTCTTTTCATTCCTAATCCAATTAGCATTGATAAATTGACTTTTGTTGACTTTTCAGAGTTTTAATTAAAATCAAATAGCATTTTTGAGGAAATTATATTATTTTATCCTCCAGTACGGTAAACTTATCGGATTTTCGAAAACGCGTTGGTATCAGGCTTGGTGCCTAACCCCGCGCCTGGAACCAGGCCTGGCGCCTGGCGCTAGCCATTGGCGCCTAGCGCTAGTGGTGGTGCTTGGCGCCAGCTAGCCAGGGTTGGCACCAGCTCTGTTTTCTGAGCGTCAGACTCTGTTTTGTTAATTTATCTTTTTTTTGGCTGATTTTCTCTATAAATATCGTATTAAAAACTTCATTTTCATTCACCAATTCTCATCATTCACGAGTTCTCATCTACAATCAGTTTTAATTAGCATTCTTTAATCTTTCAATTCTTTCTTAATTCTTACTTTGCTTTTCTCATACAAAATTCCGCATTCACAAGATCTAGAAACACCTAGCCATATTCGAAGTTGCCTTCGCCCTAGACGTGAAAGGTTTAATTTCTGAGGGTTTGGTCCCAAATCTCTATTTCAATTATTTAATTTAATTGTTTTGTTTATTATTTTCCTTGAAGTTACTAACGTGTGTATTTTTTTATTAGAAAGAGGTACGAGGCATCAAAGTAAGTGCTTTAATGGTTTTTAATTGATATTATGATGTAGAAATCATGTTTACATTGTTATTATGATATTCCTAGTATCATGTCTAGGGTAATTTTAATATTAAATATGATTGTTACGATGCTTCCTATGTTCTTCCTAATGTTTATGATTGTTAGTATCATGTTAGGG